AGGGGAGGGTAGGCCCCTCCTCCTTCGTACCCTCCTCTCGTCCTCCGCTCCGCGTCTCCTCCTCCCGTCCTCCTCTTCTTCTCCACCACCCTCCTTTCCTCCTTTCCCCTCTCTTTCTCCTCTTCTTTTTCGTCGCCTCCTCTCCACTCCTCCCCCTCAACCCCTCCTCCTCCTGCGTACCCTCCTCCCGTCCTCCTGTGTACTCTCCCCACTCCCTCCTCCGTACCCTCCCCTCCTTCTTCTCCATACCCTACCCTGCTCCCATTATCCCTACTAAATTTAGCTGGAAAATTCATACCACTTTACCTCAACACCAATTTAGTTTCCCTGCTACATTTAGAGGGGAAAATGACGTCACATGACCTCAACCCCAATTCAGTTTCCCCGTTAAATTTAGCGGGGAACTGAAATGACGTCACATGACTTCGTGCCACGTCACCCATAAACAAATTCAGTTTCTCGGCTAGATTTACCCGGAAAATTGACGTCACGTGACCTCTGTACCAATTCAATTTCCAGCTAAATTTGGCGGGGCGGTTGCGCCGACGGAGACGGCGATGGCGAGCAATCTCGCTATATGCGGAAACGGGTGCCTAAGATCTGCGCTCTGAAAAGTCACGGACCACTTCCCTTCTCGGATATTCACTTATCAAAAGCCAGCAGTACTAGACACGCAATACACCTCAAATGTCAGCAGCTGTGCATTATGCGCACACACTCTCCAGACGATCAAACTGCCGACAGCCAGCAGCTTTGTCCGATTGTTCGCGTAACACGAATGCACGTCTTTCTGCCACGGTAGTTCTTCTGAGGGAGGAGGGTGCGCTTGTGCATGAGGATTTCGGTCACACATCTGAAAGATTCAAATGTGGGATCTTAATGCTCAACCTATCAAGAGTGCAGAATGTCCACTTTACGAACCGAAAATTTATAATACCTTACTTTACGACAAAGCGAAAAAAAAAAAAAGAAAAACCTCTCAACAGCACAATTAGAAATTTTATATTCTGAGTTAAAATTTCTTAGGCACAAGCTTGACTAACTCACGTATGCGCAGAAAAAATCGATCAGTTCTCACTGTTGCGTCAACTATAGCAACCACGTTTCGCCTTTAGTTCACAAGTGTGGGAAGACTGATAACATTATGTTGTTGTTTTTTAATTCAAATATGATTTTTTTGCATTTAAGACGAGCACAATTTGATAAAATAAAGTGCATCTGGTGTCACTCTATGTTTGATCGCGTCATGTGGCCCTCGATAGTAACTCGTATCTACTCGAGCAAGACGTTCAGCCGATGTCTAATTAATGGAGGAGACGGGCGTTGCATTAGCGTTCGGCTGGCACTCACGCTTCCTTATTCCGAGAGTTGAATCGAAAGTAGAAACTGTTATGTGGGAACCATTTCAAGCTTTGTCGAAACCTGGACACTTTAGAAATCGCGGGACGACACAACTCCGTCAAAAGTCAGTCGTAAAATATGAAGCGGGTGAAGTCCGACACTCCAATCTGTTTGAATACCACAAAGAAAAAATCATGACTTTCCTCCTCGCTTCCTCTGCTTTCCAGTAGACCTTGGTGCTTGTCAGCCTTGACGTTACACGCCGCCTGCCAATGCTGTCCATCTGTTCCGCCTGGCCCTCGTATGCTTGGCCGTGCCTTAAAGTCTACTCGATTTCACTCCAAAAGCAAATTGGTGTGTATATGGTTATACAGCCGGAAGTTAGTCTGCCTCACTCGGCGTCTGGTGTCTCAGCCATACACGAGCAATTTAGCCACTGCAGTACGACTGGAAGCCTGAGGTCTTTAACGTGCACCACGCAGTAGTAATACACGACCGCACACCGGTACGATGTTCAACCAGATTGAAACGGGCAGGAGTGGAGATTGATCCCAGGATCGCTGGGTTGTGCAGGCGAGCTTAAATTTGCTCCATGTGCTCTGAGCTGGTGTGCACTAGCCCACTCGGCCACCGATCCCCCCGATCTTACTTTAGAGTTTGAGTTTTGTACCTTTGCGTTCAAAAACCTACCCGCGTCCTGCGTCGCTCTATCTGTGTTATCACGTGGCACGAGCGCACCTGAGTAACACGGATCTAGTTGGGTAAGGTTTAGAACACAGCCCTTCCCTTTTTCGATTTCGGATTTTGAAGAGCAGAGGAGCGCTTGAGCGATTGACCCACAGCCAACACAGCATGTGAGTAGCTCTCGGAACTCACGTGATGAGCATGCTCAAAATCCCCGTGAAGGACATGAAGGAAATTTTGGCGGATGGAACTTTGCTACCCAGCAAAAAATACCGACGGAAACGGAACGCCAACGACTTACGGCGCAGTTGTGTCACCTCACGATTTCTGAAATGTCTTGGCTGGACAGGCATTAAGACGTTTTGTGGTAAACAGAAAGGGTTTCATGCCCCTTTAGAGCTGTTTCCTACGAATCTCTTTTTTTTTTTTTTTATTTCTGCGGCCAGGTGTCTTCAACTTAGCCGTTGGGGAAAGGAAGCTGATGAAGATACCGGTATTTCACTGCATGGCGTCACCGGTCAGGGAGCCTGATTTTGTTAGTTTGCCTTCACAGAAGGTGCAAGTGGCGGTTAGGGCGAAATCAAAGATACGACCACTCCAACAAGAAGCGACACCTAGCAAGGGAAAGCATGCAGTAACTCTTGACGCTCCCACAATTTTTCCTTCAAATTGTTCGACGTCGCGAACGAACACGTGTGCTGCTTTGCTTGGCGAAGGCTTGGCCCTCGCACCCGGAAGCTGTTAGGAAACCTTCACGTTGGGTAACCCTTTGAGTGCCACACCCGACTATACCCAGCCGCGTTCCCGTCTGGTTTCAGATAAGGTTTCCTTTGTGCCCCGCAGGGTTACATATGGGAAACACATCTGGACGCTGTTAATTATATAATTTTTTAATTCCGTTCCTTCAGTATATGTTTCGTGTTATTATGAAAAGATAATTTTCATAATAAAACTAAAAGAGAGGCTCGATTTTCGATTTTTTCCTAAATGGAATAATAGCTCTGAAATTTCCTTGTTACTTTATTGAAAACTTTAAAAATTAAAGCTAATAAGACTGCCGTCTAAACTGAGACTGTAAAACTTGTTTGATTTTGCATAAATGTGTTCTTACAAAAATTAAGTTATTCTGACAAGCTTATTTTCGTAGCCGCGCCCTCAAGCTATTCCACACGGTTTCAAACATTTCAATTTACTGATCGCCTTTCTAGCCTCAAAAAATGCCCATCCCATGTGTCCCTGCACATCTTCACTTGATGTATTCTCATGCAGCCCCAGTTCCAGTCTGCTCACGCCCCTCTGCAAGGTCTCTAAGCTCGACTGGGCCTCAAATTCCCTGCATAATACCGCATTGACAAAAGACAACCCTGGCACCATAACTTCTTCCATATTCCCGTAGCAACTTCATATATATTGTAATTCCATAGTGTCCTATGCTTCGTAATTGCTACATTTCTGTTTCTTTAATTTAGCATATTTTCTTCCTGTTCTTCTAGGTATTGTCTTCCCTCATTTAGCCATACTCCTATGTATTTAAACTTCTCTACATGTTCTAATAAAACGTCTTGAATTTTCAGCGGGCCCCCTTCTCATCGTTATAAATCACTATTCCCGATTTGTCGTTACTGAACTTCAGGCCCAGAAAGTATAATTCCTCTCCACTAATCTTAATCAGTGCCTGTAACCTACCCCCGGCTATCTGCTAACAGTACAATGTCGACTGCTTAGAACGTTCCTGGTATAACTTGGTTTAATTTTCCCCCTCTCTTCATATATAACACATCAAAATCCTAATTGCAATCTTCTAATTTGTTTTTCCTTCTAATCAGGTATATCATAAAAAGTATAGTTGATAGGGGAGAATCCTGCCCGAGTCCTTTTTTTTATTTCAGTCGGTTATGTTATTTCTGATTCCAATGTTATCACAACCTTATTATTGGTATATAACTGTCGTAAAAGCTTAACCAATTGTGCGTCTAACTCATACTCTTTCAGCTGGGCAGTTTTCTTCCCTGACTCACAATGCCGTACGAACCTTTAATTTCTAGAAATGCTATTCATAACGGTTTTTCACTCATTTATGACACCTCTATACATTGAGTGATCATGAATAAGCTACCATCTAATCTTCTACCTCTTCGAAACCGGTCCAGTAGCTCACTAAAAATTCGATCTGCTCATTCTACCAGTTTTCTTTTTACTAGCTGCGTCGCCAGTCTGTACAGAACCAAAGTTACTGCTATTCGGTGGTATAATGTTATGCTATCTTCATTTCCCTTGCCTTATATGGTAATCTCATTCTGCATAGTTTCCAAATCATTGGGTACCTCTCACTCATTATTATTTGATCACTTCCCTCTCTTAACTTTAATGAGCTTTTCTGTCTTTCTTCTCGTTTATTTCCCTTTGTTCAATTCCGTCCTCGTATCCGTTATTTCCTCTAACTTAAACGCGCAGTCGCTTTTTATCCTCTTAAAACCTGCCCCAAGAATTTCGAGTTCGGCCCGCTGCTCCCGTCTGGAAACCTTGGGTACGCCTCAGCAATGTCGAGGCGTACCCACGGTTTATAGACTGGCGCCCAAAAAAGCGTTTTTCATCTACAGTGGCCAGACTAGCTCTCAAAGCGCGGCTGCTTGCAAACGTCTATAGTAGCTTTATTGTAGTCTCGTCTGAAGTGAGATATGATAGATATTTTGGTTGGAACTGAACATTTTCCATCGCGCCTATTTTATTCGCGTAAAAAGCAAAATAATTAAAAAATATATAATATTGCCTTCTAAGTCGCTCAGTTTTATTTTTCGTATTCACAACTTGCTTCGTTTTCGGCGACGCCATAGAACAGCTGGCAAGAAACAATTGACTAAGTAGCTGCGTAAAATTCGGATCAGGGAGAGGCGTGATAGGACCGCCTGCCTCTATGCCACCGCATTTTAGTCGTACGTATTTAAGTCGTAGACAAAGGTCAATTCAACTAAAAGAAGCATCAGCATGTTGTCGGTTTGGATGCTGGCGCTGTGCTTATTGCTATCGGGGGGGATATCAGAAGGGGATGAAGATCAGATATTAAGTGAAGAAGCGGAATTACAAGGGATAACTTCGACAACGCCATTGTCTGGGCCTATTTTCAGCTATGCCGAGACAAATCCTCAACTTCAGAAGTATCAAGACGCTTGGAAAGTAAGCTATATTTAGTGGATATCACTTTGTTTTGTTGAAACCTATGAACTGAAAAAAAAAGGTTCCACCACCAAGAAAACAAACACTCCGTTTTCAGTGTTCAATGTCTTGAGGCATTTCATGGAGCTTATCTGAGCACTTGTCTTGATGGCGTGGCCTCAAACGGCCTCAATGGCCTAAAAAATGGGAAGCTTATACCGAATTACTTAATGACTCTCTTTCTCGTAGGAATTCGGGGTGGAGCCTCTTTTGCAGCTCTTATGTCAGAGCATAATATGCACAATATTCACTCAGTGCCTATAAGTATCTTTATGAAACGAGGCCGACACGACATTTTTTTAAATCTGCACTTGGTATATATCTACAATTTTAGTTATATTCTAGGATAACCGGGCGTAATTGAGCATTAAAAATACGATGAAGCTGATGACATCAACTAGAGTGACGACTGAGAAAATAGCCGTTTATTGCTAAGCACCAAGCTAAATCGCTTAATAGCGATTGAAAAGAAAAAAACTCTAGGCCCGTTCGATGATCATGCCTAATTCATTAAACACTAGGTCAATTATAAAGAATGTAGACATAAATCTAGATCTTGCATTCATTGGCCAAAAGGAAAAGTTCCTTTTTACTACCTTTCTTGAGGGATAAATTACAGGCATACTCCTTCATATATAACAACTGTAGCGCCGCGTTGACGTGAGCGCGACTTAGCGGCACCAAATCCAGCCAATATATTTAAAAAAAAATGGTCAAACTGTAGTCTAGCTGGTGTAAGTTGAACATGATAGTAAACCTGAGACTGGGGTAGGATGACGGAAAACGGAAAAAAAGACGGAAATATAGCAGGCAACATCTTGCTTGTCTGGGCTTGCGTAAACGGCGTAATATTCTAGGAAAGCGCATCGCATTCGAACCGCTATATGGAGGTGGATCGAGACGGTAAGGGCGCATTCACACGGCCTGAGTGAGCAGAGGTAGCATAACATTTTGTAAAGGGGATGATTATGGGACGGCGTCCGCTCCGGCATCTGCCATACGTTTGTTGCGGGAGCGGGTGAACAGATCATAACATCCCAAGCAGCACGGATTTTGGCTAAGCATTGGCCAATGGCTGGCGATGGTCTTTTGGCCAATTATTAAAGAGTGGCCCTTCATCGGCCAATGATTGGCCGATGGCTGATGGCCAGTGGGCAGAGGGCAATAGCCAGAGAAAGGCCAGTTGTCGGCCGATGGCTGGCCACTCTCTGGCCACTGGCCAGAGGACTATTGCCAGCCATTCGCCAATGATTAGCCCTATCTCTGCTGCTTGGGATGGCGGCAGGGTAGAGCAGTCTTGGGCGCTTGCGTGCAATTTCTTCCCAAAAGTGGAAGGAAGGCCGTCCGGTTCGTTCTGTGGTACCCGTGCCTGGAGGCATATTGGGACATCCTCGTGGTGTAATCCAACAAAGCAAATCTAGGTTGATAGCTGATCGGCCTACATGAACGTTCCTATCTTTCGGAAGCAGCCGACGACCGTGACCTTTCGCGCTCGATGTTTGACATAACACGGCTTGTCACAGTAAAACGCAGCAGAGCTCACACGATGTTCCATGGCGGCAACCGACGATGACGGCGACACGATGGCGTGCGATATTAGTGGTAAACAACTGTTTTTAATGTGTAGTCAAAAGCGTCGGCCCGGGAGAATAATCGCGCGTAGAGGCACGCACGAATATGGACCAGTTCCAATAGGGCCGTAAGCAAGAAAATCTCCGAGGTGGCATATCCAATTACATGCGTAACAATTGCGGCTTTTTACATTAGCCTAGCCCCTTCCCCCCCCCCCCCCCCCCCTCCATTGTCTGTTTCCACCGCGCAAACCAGGCAACGTAAACAATGGAGTCGCCGCCGCGTGCATCGTTGCGAAGGTGACGCGTTTGTGACTGCTTGAAGAAACATCATGAGCCAGTCCACTCTGTGAAGCTGCATGACTATGGAGGCTTTTTAGCACACGAACTAGACGGGACACAGAATTTTGAACAAAGGTACGAACATATTTATTGTCTTGGTCGGTGGTCATCGTGAAGAAAGTTACGCTCACACATTTATTGTTGTCTTGACCGGTCGTCATATTTTCACGTGGACGACTATTGCCGCCCCGAGGAGTTGGAGCAAACTAGACACTCGCGACGGGATCACCCCCATATGGAAAGTAGACACGCGCAACGGGACCGCAACCCCCGGAGAACGGAAGGAAAGGAAACTAGGAACGCAAGCGGGGGCTTGGAACGATGACAGAGAGGGCAGTACGAGCGTAGACATGGCCGACGCGGGTCGCACAGTGGCAAATCTTTGAGAAACCTTTATTATCTACCTGAGAATCTACTGATCTTGAAAATGGAACCCATTGATAACTAATCTACTGTATAGGCCTACTGCTAAAGTACCCAAGCATCCATGAGAATGCAGGGAATGGTGTTCCACGCGCCGCACGTGTGGGTGTCTGCAGCAGTAACTGTTCTAAAGCAAAAGGCTAAAACAAATGGCATCTTACGCGCGTTCGTTACCGCTTTAATTGGGTAATTATTACAAATCTTTCATACGGGAAGGACGTGCGTGTGCCGCGCCGGCGTCTGCAGCAGTGACTGTTTTAATGCAAAAACCTAAAACAAATGCCATCTTGCACGCGTGTTCGACAACGCTTCATTTTGGTTATTTACTTTGAATTTTTTTATACGCAGAAGGCGTGCGCGTGCGGGCGCGTGCGGCGCGTGCGGCGGTACGATCGTAGAGTTTTTGTTGACTCACATAAAAAAATCCACGGAACCCTAGCAATAAACACCTTCGCTGTAAAAGGTCAATGAGGCACCCCAGATTTGCCTCATGGTTTTACTTTTGGGGAACTTCTAAGCGAGCTTAACGCTGCGAGCAAATTCTGCAACCAATATACATTTTCCATCGACGAGCGACGTATGTAGAGCTGTCTTCGAACAACTGAATGGCAACCAACTTACCTCCGCCCGTCAGAATACATTGACATCGCATCTTAGAAAAAAGGGTCTCCCCCTTAAATTGCCAAACACTCATGTTCCTTAAAGACCGACCAACGAAACCATTTTCCGCAAGTTAGGAAAATGCCCCTCGCTCCCTCCTCTTTTCACTCTCTCCTAAAAATCACGTGACGGCAGAGGCTTCTTTTGTGTCGGCTTTTTCTGTAGGGATAATCCTCAAAAAGCGCGAAACGAGCGGCTAGCTGCGAGCGCCACAACGACTTTGAGACGTCCAGGTGTCTTCCCTCGTTGACGCGGGCACGCGCAATCCGCAGGATTGAGGAAGCCAGCGCGACCGCACTCTTTTTCCCATGAGCTGCAGGTCCGAGGCCGCTCGGTCGGTAGAGATCGAGGGGTCGTGGTATGCTGGGTTCGTTCCAGCAGCCGCTTTCTGGCATCGCGCGGCTGCTGAACCATTCTCGCGTCTGCACACGGATTGGCTTGCACAATAAAGGGTTCAGGTCGTCGATAATACATTTATTTCCGAAACTTATAAATCAAGTGGCTTTCCCTAATCTCTTCATTACTGTTTGAAACACATCTCCTCTCATAGGTAATTGTTCATCCCATTTTGGACTCTTTTGCGTATTTATTCCTCCTTACGTCTGCTTGATGACTGTTTTATAACTTGATAAAGACCTTTAAATATTGGCGCGGGCTTGCGCGATCAACGCTGTCCCGGATTTATTCAAAATTGGAAAGATTGGCGTCAGGAGGGGTTGAAGAAGCAAACCGTAATTTTTTCTTCTAATGAGGACGGCACAATCGTAAGATAGGTCTTTGCTTCACCTGTATCCACAACGCCCCATCGTTTGCACGATCATAATTTCTCAGTGACATGTGTATACCACCTTTTACTCATGGTTACTATAGATGGGGCCCCACAGGCTTTCCCGTTATCAGCGAGTCGACTTTCTAACGACCGGCGACTCTCCTGAGTGAGAATAAATATTATCACCTTCAAACAATATCCACCCCTTTCTCCCCCCCTTTCCCGAGTTGGGGAAATATCAGGCAACTCCGGGAAGCAGCCTGCAGACTGCGCTTTTCGGCTGCTCATTCTCAACACATTCGAACGTGGAAGTAAACACATCACATCAACGACGCCCTGTTTATTTGCAACCTAAATAATGTGGCTCTTCTGTTGGGACCCAATCAATTTCATCATCAATCATTATTTGTTACAACTTCATGGTGATTGTGTGTTCGTAGTGATGCCACAAAGTGGTCGATTCAAAGGGAGAAATAGGTCCTCGTATTTATTTTGCGGAAATACTAGCTCCTGTGACGCTCTAGTGCGTAAGGTCAAAGCACCCGAGGCAGTGCGTAATACTTTAAAACTGTCGTTGATGATGAAATATTTGTGGGAAGCGCGTAAAATTGTTTACACCACGAAGACATACCTAAACACCAGAAAATATTGCAATTGCAAAAAAATACAAAAAAAAAAACAAAAAAAAAAAACGATCAGCCTGTGAAAACCCTTGCTTTCTCCCCCCCCCCCCCCCCTCTCTCTCTCTTCTTTTTTTGCGCCACTACAAAAAAAAAAACGGCCGAGCAACGAAATTGTATCAAAACCTCGCTTCTTGGAGAAAGGACACCAGGATATATGGTTGTGAATAGGAGTATTTCCATTTTCCTTCCACGCGATTAAAAGGCAAGACGCTGGGGGAATTTATGTGCACTTGCATGCTGCATCTAAAAGAAAGTACCAGATTTCTAGTGCATGTCAATCTACATGTAAATTGTTTAATCAGTGTGCACAAGCATTCGCGGCCTGGAGGATGACATGGAAGCATGGCGGAAAGCGGCCTGCTGGAAATAGAAGTCTCTATTGCACTGCACTGGTGTGAAACATTATTACGTATTTTTGTTTTATTTATGTGCGAAAATAAAAACAGCCTTTAGAAACCGAACACTGAGTTTTGAGGAGCGCCGAAGGGATATAAAAAACCGGGACAACCTGAA